CTCATCTTCACGCGGCCGCAGCCATGCTCGACAGTTTGGCGGGCTCGTCCGCAGAGGGCAAGAACGACAACATTCAGTGCATCTTCTTAGCGCTCAAGAGGCTAGGCGCCGCCGGAAACGAACTCCTCTCCCGCGGACCTCGAGGGCCAGCGCGTGGCGCGCAGCGCCTCAGCGATGCAAGCCAGCGCGGGTTCCAACCCGCAGGCCCGACTGTCATGCCACTTCGAGGGCCATGGGCCCGTCGCCCTCCCGATGGAGCAGGAGGTTGAGATCGCCCAGCACAAGTATCACTCGCCCGAGCTCAACAACGAGCGCGGCTTCGCTCTCGCGGCCGTGAATCGATTGATTTCGTCGTGCCTGAGATTGTCGGGATTCAGGAGTTTCCAGCGTAGGCGCCGTTCGGGGGTTTATGCCTACGCGTTGAAGCAGAAGTGATGCACGGAGAACACATGAGAAGCAGGAGTGAGCAGCAGGCAGTGAGTAGCAGTAGGATGGCCGAACCAAGACAAGCAGACACCAAGCATGAATCCCCGACCTCGCCTTTCTCCGCTCCCTCAGCACGAGTCCTTGGGGAGATAGGGTGGAAACCCTTCATCGGCGTACCATGCCCGCAAACAGTTTGAGTTGCCCCCGCGCCGCGGTGCCACCGGCTGCGCTGCGCGCTCGACGGCGGCGGCGCCAGGCCTTGCGTTCCTTGGCCCTGCGACAAACCCATGCACTGCGGTTTCCTGCTTTGGTTAACTGGGTTGGGATTCCGATGCAGATCGACGAAGACGACTCCTTTTCCTCCTCCTCCTCCTCCTCCTCCATCTCCTCCTCCTCCTCCTCCTCCCCCTCCTCCTCCTCCCCCTCCTCCTCCTAATCTCCCCTTGGGGGAGGCGCGAGAGCGCGAATATATTCGCGCTCGGCGCTGCGCGCAGCGCGAAGTGAGGCGCCCTTGGGGCGACAGGCCGGGCGCCCTCCCCGAAGTGCTCTGGGCGGCGGGCGGCGGCTGGCGGGCCCGCGCGCGTAGAAGGTCAGCGGGGGAGAAGATGCCGATGCCACGGAACCACGTCCTCCTCCTCCTCCTCCTCCTCCTCCTCCTCCTCCTCCTCCGTTTCCTCCAGCGCCAGCTCGCTCGAGCCCCCGCTCGACGGCGAGCCCGCGCCAGTGGGGCCCCCTCGCCCTGCCCCCCCCCTCCCCTTCCCGTCCCATCCGTCTCCCAGGCACCCGCCCAGTCGCCATGGAGGCCGCTGCTGCGCCCCGGTTGCGCCCGCGGCGCCGCCCTCCGCGCCCCGCTGCCGCCCGCAGGGCCCAGTATCTCCGGGCAGAGGCGCGGGTCGTGGAGCACCTGATTCGCGGCTTCGGGGAGCTGACGCTCCACCGAGGAAGGCAACCCACGAGGCTTGCTGCAGCCTTGGTCAAGGCGCTGGCCGAGAGCGCGGACACGGCTGGAGACGGCCCTGGTGGGAGCGAAAAGCCGACCGTGGTGCACGTGGAGGCGAAGGAGGTCGCGGAGGACGATCCTGATCACCCATTTGCTGGAGCCGAGGGTCTGCGTCACGAGGGAGGTGCAGGTCCCGACGGAGCTGTGGCGCCCTGCGCGGCTGCACCGCCTCCCACGGGGCCCCTGAGGGGGACGACTTCCCTTGATGTGGTGGAGGCGGTGGCCGAGGCCGGCCCTGCAGCGGGCGGCGCTGGAGACCCTGGTGGCCAGGACCCGCATGACGAAGCAGGATCTGCAGATGATCAGGAGGATGAGGCGAAGGTGGCCGCCGAAGGAGGGACGGACGGTCCCCTTCGCCCGCCTGCTGGCGCACCCCCTCCCGCGGGGCCCCTACGGGGGACGACTTCCCCTGATGCGGTGGAGGCGGTCGCAGAGCCAGCAAGGCGGCCTGCAGCTGGAGCCCCTGGCGCTCGGGCTCATGAAGGTGCTTGCGATGGAGGCGCCAGCGCGGACGTCGGCACACTGCTGCACGATCTCGGGACGGCGATGGCATCGGCGACCCTTGCCCCGTCGGCTACCGAGCGGTGGGCAGTCAGCACTGAACGTGCGCAGCTTCTCCGAGACGCCGACAACCTTCGCGGAGGTTCCACTTCGGCGGGTTGCAAGCAGAGCTGGCGCCTGATAGTCGCTTGATACGCACCAGTGATGATTGCAGGATGAGTTTTCGCCACGTCATTTTGTCAGGGCCTATGTGCACACTCTCAGATGTGTTTGTATGTTTGCTTCCAGTTGCCAATCCCAGGTTCTTCTCGATTGGAATGAGTTGCTTTCACAACACAGCTTGAGCGGTGCTTGTTCAATCTTCCGAACCTCGCATCTTTCTGTGTGAATACGCGCATGTGCCATTCACTTCGATTGATGTAATAAGAGGTCTCTTGTGTGGTTTCTGTGCTTCTTTGTCTCGCTTGTGTGTGCACGCGTGCTTGATAAGAGCCCAGTCTTTAGCGTAACTGACATGGTCACAATATCCGTAACTCCGTAACTCCTCCGTTTCCTCCTCCTCCTCCTCCTCCTCCTCCTCCTCCGATTCCTCCTCCTCCTCCTCCTCCTCCTCCTCCCCCTCCTCCTCCTCCTCCTCCTCCTCCTCCTCCTAGCCCCTCCCCCCCCCTTGGGGGGCCCAGGGGGGTGGGCGCGCGCACTTGAAGAAAGGGGGCGCAGTGGCCCTGGGCCGCCACGGAGGCATGAAAAACTGGAGGTCAAGGCGCCGGAAGAGGCCATCGACGCGGAGCTCGGCCAGAGGGGCGAGTCGGGGGTGACTCCCTCTGTGCCAGACCAGCTTGTCCGTGGGCGCGGTGCACAGCAATCGAATCCCGATTGCGAGGCCCGCCCGCGATTCGCGATGTCAATTGCACGTTGTGGGCGCTCGCCGGACTTCTGTAGATGTCGATCGTGTGGACACGTTGCTGTCGGTGTTCGGGGGGAGCGCGGCGATTTCGGCCAGATTTGGGGGCTCACAGGGACACGAAACACTCGCGTTCCCCGCTCCCGCTGCTGCGAACAGCGCCGACGTCGAGCAATCATATATCCAGCTGCATGCGGCAAGCCCCGCCACCTTGCCAGCCCAGGTTTCTGGTCGGGGACTGTTCGAGGGGACGCGAGAGGCCGTCACGTGTTACATCTCGTGTCACCAGGGTTGGGGGAGTTGTGATGAGGATGGTGCTGATGTTGATGATGGTAAGGTTGGTGCTGCAGTTGCTGCTGATGTTGGTGGGGGTGATGTCGATTATGGTGATGATGATGTGGAGGATGATGGTGATGATGACGACGAAGCTGGTGATGATTATGAGGCCGACGAGCTTGCTAACCTTGATGCGGTTGATGGCCCTGCTGACGATGATGCCGAAAGGGAGGAGGTGGATTATGATCATCATGATGATGATGTTGATAATGATGATGTTGATGATGATGAGGATGATGATGAGGATGAGGATGAGGATGAGGATGAGGAGGTGGAGGAGGAGGAGGAGGAGGAGGAGTGTGGTGGGGGTGGTGTTGGTGACATGGGTCCAGTATTCGTGGAGGTGATGATGATGCTGATGATAATGATGGCAATGTTGATGATGACGATGATGATGAGGAGGAGGAGGATGATGATGATGAATATGGTACTGCTGATGATGATGATGAAGATGATGATGATGAGTATGATGATGATGATGATGCTGATGATGATGATGAATATGATGATGATGATGATGATGATGATGATGATGACGATGATGATAATGATGACGATGATGATGATGATGATGATGATGATGATGATGATGCTGATGATGATGATGATGATGATGATTATTATTATGAAGATACTGCTGGTGACGATGGTGATGATGGTAACGTTGATGATGCTGCTGTTGTTGATGATGATGGCGAGGAGGAGGAGGAGGAATAGGAGGATCAAGGGAGGCGGAGGATGAGGAATGTCGTAACATGTGACATCTCTCGTCCTCACTGCTTTAGGAGCTCACAAGGAACTCGGTTCGGCCGTCTTGGGGCTTGCTTGGCCTCCTGTGGGGCAGTCTTGTAGGTCCCTTTAGACCCTCTTGGCCGTTTTGGGGCCTGCTGACGCCGTCGTGAGTGTCACTTGGGCCCGTCTTGGGGCCCTCTCCGTGTGTCTGGGGGCTGTCGTGGGGCCGTCTTGGGGTTGGCGAGAGGCCTTCTTGGCCCCCACCCGGGGCTCTCTGAGGCCGTCTTGGGGCCGGCTTGGATGCCTGTTGGGCCATCGTTGGACCTCTTGGGTCATCTTGGGACCCTCTTGGGGGGCCTCTTGGCTCTTGGGAGCCTCTCGGGGCGCCTTGGGGCCATCGTGGGTTCGTTTTTGGCCGACCCAAGCTGGTGGGAGCCAGAAAAGGAACGACTCATAAACTTCTTCAACCACCCAAAGGGAAACAATGACTGCGGCTTGAAGCCACATTGGGCAGTCTCGGGGTCATGTTGGGCCACATGGAGGCCAGATTGCGCCGTCTTGAGGCCACAGGGGGCCGCCTTGGGGCCATGTTTTGGCCGTCTTAGAGGCATCTTGGGCAATCGTGGTCTCGGAGCTCGGAACGCGGATCCGCTGTTCCTTTACGCGGGGTCGTGGCCCTGGAAGCGCGGGTCCATGGTTTTTTCTTGAGGGGCCGTGGCCTTGGGGGGGGGGGGCGATGCATTCACGGAGGCCCGAGTATGGGGGGGGGGGGTCCTTTATTGGAAAACAAGAGCCCTACCAGGCAGCCGCTGGAATTCTTCTACACCTCAACGCGCACAAGGCGCAGTGGCAGCGGATCGTGCCCGTGCCTATGTTCGCGGTGCTCCCCATGGCGGTTTTGTATGCCCGCGCGAAGCCGTGGGCATGCCACCCAAGGAGCCTGGGGGAGGCATCGGCCCTAGACAAACGGCCTTGGCTGGGGGAGATGAGGCTCCCCCCAGTGGGCTGATCACGTGGGTGATGTTGCGCAACGTCCAGAACGTCCTCCTCTCCTCTTCCCTGCTCTCCTCTTCCTCCTCTCTGTCCTTCCTCGTCAGCACCAAGGTGGTGATCATCCTTTTCTTGGGCATGCTTTGCGTGGTCATCTGGTCGCAGTGGCGGGAAGCGGAGGGCGGGGTGTCGGGCAAGCCGGCGAGGAAGAGTGGAGCATTTGCAGGGTAGGGGGAGGAGGAGGGCTACGACGAAAACGGTGGAGGAAAGGAGGTTAGATCAAGGCGCGCTGCAGGCAGATGCGAACGAGCAAGCGGCAGCAGGCGCGGGGGCATGGAAGCCTCTGCGAGAACATGTTGATGCAAACTCAACCCTGCGGGGGCCGGTGGCAGGAGGCTCCTGCTGCACGTGCTGTGTGCTTCTGAAGGGGGGAAGGTCTGCGCTGGGTCCGTCTGTCAGTCCGAGCGCAGACTCCAAACGCGGGGAGGCGCTCCCAGAGATGGGAAGGGAGGGGGAGGAGGAGGGGGAGAAGGAGGTGGAGGAGGAGGACGACGACGAGAACGAGGACGAGGACGAGGACCGAGAAGAGAACGATGACGAGCACGAGGAGAAGATGGAGAAGCATGAGTTCAAGCGTTCAAGCGAAATAACTTGTTGAAGGACAGCGTGCCACCTGCGAAGAATAGGAACTACGAGGGCAGTTACTACGAGCACAACTACGGGGGCAGAAACTACGGCGACTGATCCAGCGGCGGACCCAACGGCCACCGTCTTTTCCGACGACAAGCACTCAGAGCTCTAGTGGCGGGTCCAGATCATTTTGTTTTTGCTGACGGCGGGCCGCATTACCATGAGCAAACACAGCATCCGACGAGCTTTGGCAAACCGCGAGCGGGACACATGGCGGGCCCACCCGGAGAGATTCCGACATCACGAGAGACCGACCGACGGCCAGCCAGACCCCCCACCCGACGTCCAAGCGCCAGCCTGACCAGATGGCCCCCTCGAGCCCCCCCGGCTCCTCCTCCTCCTGCTCCTTTTCCTCCTCCTCCTCCTCCTCCTCCTCCGTAGCCATTTTGGCTCTCGCCTGGTGCCAGGCCCCATAGCCGTTGGCTCGACGGGCGTGGGGCGCGAGCACGGGATGGCACGGGGTGCGGCCCCTCCGCCGGTGGCCGCGCAATTCGGTGGCGATTCGTCTTCCTCTGCTCGTCGGCGGCGGCGGCAAGCTGGCCGTGTGTGGGCTCGCATGTCTGCGGATTGCGCTATCGGGCGCCTCGACCTTGCATTGCACGACGCTCGAGAACGTCATCAGCATCTTCTCGACGCCGTCGGGATGCTACTGGGTGGGGAGGCCGATCTTGCCGACCGCGTTTTGGCTGTCGTTCCGCATCTGCGGGCGCTGGTCTCGTCTTCGCCGAGTTCATGGGAGGATGTGCTGCGTCGGAACGTTGCTCTTCACGCCTCGGCCGACGGGATCAACGTCTCTACGGCTTCCACCCGCGAGCTCAGGGCAGCGCAGCGTGGGCCCAGGCTGGTTCGTGTCCGAGATGTTCCTGGAGGTGGTGTTTGCTCCAAGAACACCGAGCAGGAGACTGCTGGCGCCGCGGCGGCTGCTGATGGGATGACGTCGTCAGGGCGGTGCTCCGAGGTCGGGGCATGCAATGAGGACGGTGTCTTTCGCCTTCGGCTCGCTGATCTTCTTCCGCGTCTTGGGGAGGACGATTCGTGCAGCACGGCGTCGGGATCTTCCTCTACTGCCTCGGCGCCTTCTCTGGGTATCATGCCCGAGGGATGGCTTCCTCGTGGAGGCGCGCCGCTGTCGCGGGTTTGCCTCCGCGAACCGTTCCGCGCAGATCGGCTTCCTGTACCTCCGGTCTTCCGTCCTTTCCGCGGTGAAGGCGGTGGCGATGGTGCTGGTCGTCTTCCCGCCGCCATGGAGGCGGACAGCAGCGCTGGTGATGCTGCAGGCGGAGCTATTTTTCTCGCTGGAATTGATCCTCTTGTGCGTCGTGGCCTCCCTGCGGAAGCGGGCCAGCCTCTTCGGCATGGGCTCACTGGTGCTCCCGCTGGTGGCGGTCCCCTCCGAGGCGGCTCCTTGGTATGGTGCGTTTTCATAGTGACCCACGGCTGGTACCTCAAGAGGAATATTGGGAGTGCGTGCTGATGCCTGCCACGGACACGGTTGGCCTCCCATGGTCGTGCCCAGGTGTCCACGCCCTCGAGTACGTGAAGCTCATCGGCGACCAGCGGCTCACTTGCCTTTCCTGCGACCTGCTCATGGATGGCATGGACGAAGACCCAGAGTCGCTCTTCGTGTGCTCGGAGGGCGGTTTGGTGTTCTGCGATACGTGCGCGCCTGAGGGCTGGCGAAGTTGGGCATTGGCCACATGACGCTCGATTTCACGGACCCGTTTGTGCTCCTGTTCGTTGTGGTCTTCTTCGGTTTCGTGCTTGTGGAGGTCTTCACGGCAGGTGCACTCACGCTACGGGTGGCCTCACCCCACCACCCGTGAGTATGCTGGGGTAGCATTGCGTTGATGTAAAAAAAAATCCTCCTCCTCCTCCTCCTACTCCTCCTCCTGTTCCTCCTCCTCCTCCTCCTCCTCCTCTTCCTCCCCGCGGCCCCCGCCCCCCTCGCCCCCTGGGTCACTTCTGCCGCAAACCATTGCAGCCGCAGCATTTGCACCCCCTCCACGACTGCATGGGCAGCAGGCCTGTGGCGCGGGCCGGGGTTCCTCCCCGAGGAGGATCACAGCTTCGGCATCTTGCTCATGCAGACCCGTCGGAGGAGGAGGAGGAGACGGAGACAGAGGAAGAGGAGGAGGAGGAGGAGGAGGAGGAGGAGGAGGAGACAGAGGAAGAGGAGGAGGAGGAGGAGGATAACCATCACTTGGCTAAGTGGGAAGCTAAGGGTTGGCCGACCCGACCCTAACCCGAAACCTCGTGGCGCTGTGCCACCAGTGTTCTCCACGGCGGCCGCGGGTGGGGCCGCTGAGACGGCAGTGCGCTGCCGACGCAGAACGAGGTGCTGGGCCGTGATGTGGCGTTGCACACCTAGCCGCAGCAGCACCTCACCTCCACCGCCCACGATCGGGGGGGGGGAAGGGTGGGGCTGAGCAACTGTCGGGGCGGACTGGCAACCCAAGTCCACCCCCGTGCCCAGGACCCACGGGGGCGCCCCCTGTGCCACTGTCACCGTGGAGGGCGCCGCCAGGCGCCCCGCAGCCGTGCAACGGGGTCTCGCCAAACAGCACGCACAGTGAACAGGGAATTTGGCATCGCCTGACAGACGGAACCCCAAAGCTCGGGTTCCAGGGCTGGCTGCGCAACCAGCACCGCCAGCCAGGACTAAACAACCACCAGATCGATCCTGCTGCGGGCCTAGGCAGAAACCTCAGCACGGTGCCGCAGATAGAGTGCGCAGCGCCCCTTTCCTCTGAGGCGGGGTGCCTGACGTGCGTGCTGGGCCACGCACACACACACACACACACACACACACACACACACACACACACACACACACACACACACACACACACACACACACACACACACACACACACAAGTACACCGACGGGCCCTGATGTGGCGGTTGCGCACCTAGCCACAGCGCCACTTCCCTCCGCCACTCAGGAGCCGGGGGGGGGGGGAAAGGGGGGGGGCAGAGCAGCAGTCGGGGTGGGCAGGCAACCCAGGTTATCCCCCGTGCCCAAAACCCCCGGGGGGCGCCCAATGTGCCACTGCCACCGTGGAGGGAGCCTGCAAGCGCCCCACGGCCGTGCAACATGGTATCGCCAAACAGCACGCTGCAGTGAAAAGGACGGCTGGCCTCGCCTTCCCGACGGCGTCAGACGTGCCAGGAACCCACCAATATGGCCGAAGTTGGCTCGAAGCTTGGCCCAAGACGGCCCAAGAGGCCCCCAAGAGGGCTTCCAGGAAGGCCAGAAGAAGCCACAAACATTGAGTTTCCCCAGGTTTTGACGTATTTTGACATTTGCTTCTTTTCGGCCTTCTGACGGCCCGAGACGGCCCAAGAGCCCTCGAAGATCTCCGAAAGATCGCCCAAGAGGCCTCCAAGATGGCCCCAGAACGGCCCAAGAGGGCCCCAAGACGGCCCCAAGAGGCCCCCAAGACCGCACAGGAGGCCTTTAAGACGCCCAAGATGTCCTCCAAGACGGCCCTGGAGCATTCCAAGAGGGCCCCAAGTCGGCCCATAGAGGCCCCCCAAACGGCTTCCGACGGCGTCAGACGGACCAGGAGCCCACCAAGACGGCCGAACATGGCCCTAAGATGGCCCAAGAGGCCTCCACGAGGGCCTCCAGGAAGGCCCGAAAAGGCCAACATCATTGATTTCCCATGGGTTTTCGAGGGATTGTGGCATTTGTTTTTTTTCTGCCGTCCGACGGCACGAGACGGCCCGAGTGCCCCCAAAGATCGCCCAAGAGGCCCAAGACACGGCCCCAAGAGGCCCCCAAGACGGCCCAAGAGGTCTCCAAGACGCTCAAGATGGCCTCCAAGACAGCCCAAGAGCCCTCCAAGACGTCCTCCAAGAAGGCCCGAAAGGGTCAAAATGGCCTCCAGACGGCCAAGATGACCTTCAAGATGCCCACGTGTTCCCTGAAGGCTTTCCAAACCGATTCGGGGAACACATGGTCCGATAGCTTGGCAGGTCTGGCCTCATAGGGGGCGGCGGTGATTCGCCGTAGGCGTCTTCGATAAGCAAACAAATAGCCTGGTGAAGGGCGCGACCTTCTGCAGTCACGCGTAGCGCAGGGCGCGGTCCTCTCTTCATATACTGCGCGCCGCGGGGCAATGCGGATAGGGGGTGTGCGCAGCAGCGCTGAACTCCTTGTTGTGGTCACGGTCCGCGTGAAGGGTGTGCCGAATAATCTGGATGCACGCCCACTGGCGCAGCAGGTGCAGTTCCCTTTGGGGCACCACCCGTGTGAGGCATGTGCCGAAATGGGCGGGGGGACGCTATGCGAAGTTGCCCATGGGCTCCACAGGTGGAGCTCCTTCCGGGGCGCGATTCACGTGAGGGGCGAACCGGATTCCACTGGAGAGGCAAACAATTAGCCTCATGGGTCTCGGCTGGACAGAAAAAGGAGGAGGGACGAGGAGGACAATGATGAGGCGGAGCAGGAGGAGGGGGGAGCAGGGAGGAGAGACGATGACCGTTTTAAGTGTTTCGACGATGACTCCGAGGTTGTATCGGCAGTCCTCTCACGCATTGGAAACATGCACTGCCTGAGCCATGCCATGTTGCAATCTCACTTTTCAGCAGCCCCTGTGCGGTGCAGCGGATTATGCTGTGAGCCCATTCGTACGTCGGGTGTATCTTCTGTTGTTCTCTTCAGTGGGAGCATGACTCTTGCGGGGCCCCATGAGGCTCCCAAGAAGCCCCAAAAGCCCCCCAAGAGGCCACAAGAGTCCCCCAGGAGGCCCAAAACAGGCCCCGCGAAGCCCCCAAAGGTTTCCCAAGCGGCATCAAGACTGCCTCCAGGAGGCCCCGAGAGGCCTCCCACGGGACCCCATCAGCCAGGCGCGGTGGACGGGGGGAGGAGGACAAGGAGGAGCAATTGGGGGAGGGAGGAGGGAGGAAGTGGCAGCCGGCGCGCGGAAAAGGACTGGGGGGGAGGCCCAATGCTGCACCCCGCAGCTCACTACCTGTGCTCTGTGGGTACACTCTCGGCCCTTCCTTTTTGGACAGCGTCGGGTACGCTAATTGTTGTTTTAGAGGAAAGAGAACTATGCACATACACCGGTTCTGACCAGGCCCATCCTGAGCCCAGGATCGGTGCATATGCCCTCTTGCCTTGGCCAGGAAAGCATATGCACCGATCCTGGGCCCAAGATGGGCCTGGCCAGAATCGATGCATGTGCATAGTTCTCTTCGCCCGATGCTTTTCTTCCGGGGGAGCACGACTCTGGCGGGGCACCGGGGCCGCCACAGGGAGCGTCGCTTCTGTGCCGTGCCAGAGCTGCCCTGCCGTGGACTGCGCCCCGCAGCTCACGGCATGTGTTTTGCGGATGCACTCGGTCCATTCTTTTTGGACAGCGTCGGGTACGCTAACTGCTGTTTTTCTTCCGCTTCCGTGGAAGCACGGCTCTGGCGGGGCACCGGGCCGCCACAAGGGAGCGTCGCTCGGCCCTTCCTTTTTGGAGGACGTCGGGCACGCTCACTGCTGTTTTCCTTCCGCGGGAGCGCGGCTCTGGCGGGGCACCAGGGCCGCCACAGGGAGCGTCGTTCGGTCCTTTGTTTTTGGACAACGTCGGGTACGCTCACTGCTGTTTTTCTTCCGTGGGAGGAGCACGGCTCTGGCGGGGCACCGGGGCCGCCACAAGGGAGCGTCGCTTCGGTGCCGTGCTGCCGTGGGCCGCGGCCGCGCGCCGTGCCGTGCGCCGTCTCGTCGGCCGCCCGCGCGCGCAGCAGCAGGGGGCCCAGGCAACGGCGGCCTGAGCAGCCCAGTCGGGCCTGCTGCGCCTCGGCGGGGGGTTGTTAGGAGGAAGGGGAGGAGGAGGAGGAGGAGGAGGAGGAGGAGGAGGAGGAGGAGGAGGAGGAGGAGGAGGAGGAGGAGGAGGGGGAGGGGGAGCAGGAGGAGGAGGAGGAGGAGGAGGGGGAGGGGGAGCAGGAGGAGGAGGAGGAGGAAAGGAGGAGGAGGAGGAGGAGGAGGAGGAGGAGGGGGAGGAGGAGGAGGGGGAAGAGGTGGGGAGGGAGGGGGGGAGTGTTAGGAGGAAGTGGGGGCGGAGGCGCCGCGCCGCCGCCCTAGAGGGAACCCCGGGGCCCAGGCCCCCTTGTCCTCGCCGCTGGCGCGGACGGCGGCGCGGCGGAGAAATAGGAGGTTATTCGGGATGTGAATATATATATATATATATAATATATATATATATATATTATATATATATATTTATTTATATTATATATATATATATATGTATATATATATATAGATATATATTCACTGACCGTTGCCGTATTAATTATGGGGGCCCAAGAGGCTTGCAGGGTGCTTTTTCGGAAGCAGTTTTGACCCCTCGCGGGGGCTGCTTTGGCGTCTTTGGGCACCTTTTTGGGGACTGTTTTGAAGCCCCCTTGGGCCGTCTTGGGCACCTCTTGGGCTGTCTTGGGGGCCTCTTGACTGTCTCTTGGGCCGTCTTGGGGCGATCTCGGGGGCGTCTTGGGCCGTCTTGGAGCGTCTTGGAGGCGAGATGTTGTTGATGCTGAAAAGGTGCGTTTTAGGAAGGGAATTTTGCGAATTTGGCCTCTTGGGGCTCCCTTCAGCGGCCGTTTGGGGTGTCTTGGGGCGAACACAGGGGCCTCTAGGACCTTCTTGGGGCCATCGTGGGCGGCTTGTAGCCCTCTTGGCCCAGCTCGGGGCCCTCCGGAAGCCATCGGGAGCCGTCTCGAGCCCTCCAGGCGCGCTCGGGACCCAGCGGCCCCCAGCGGGACGAAGGTCTGGGCGGATCAGTGTTCGATGTATATAGGTGCCCACTGTATTAGTACAGCTATATATATATATATATATATATATATATATATACGCAGATGCACCTTCGGCCCATCCCGCCACTGTGCCTGGGTTGTTGTTCAGGGTTCTCAGGGATACATGTTCGGGTCTCTCGGGCCGCTCCCGGGGGCCTCTTGGAAGAAGTGGTGTGGCCTCCTGGGAGCCTTTTGGGGCCTCTTGGGAGCGGCGAGGGCTCGACATGTCCGTTCGGGCTGCCCATCTGGACCCCCCCTTGGGGCCCTCTTGGGCCGTCCTGGGCGCCTCTTGGGCCGTCTAGGGGCCCTCTGGGGGCGTCTTTGGGCCCTCTTGGGGACCGTCTTGGGGAGATCTTGGGGGCCGCATGGGCCGTCTGGGAGCGTCGGAATGCCGAAAAGGCGAGAAGGCCAAACACCTTCAAGCACCCGAGGGAAAACAATGCTTGTTGCTTCTGGCGGCGCTCTTGGGACGCCTCCTGGGACACTCTTCGGACGTGTTCTGGGCGTCCCAGGCTGTGTTGAGGCCGTCTTGGTCGTATTGGGGCACTCTTGGGCCTTCTCGGAGGCATTTTCGGCCATGTTCTGCGCTTTGGGGGCCCATGTTATCCCTGCTGCGCTACCTGAGGACGCGCGCGACATGCCCTGGGAATCCAGGGGACTCTTTGGAAATCCTGCGGAATCCCGGGGAATTCCCGAACATCTGTTTGAAACCAGTGGCTCGGGCCTTTGGAACGTTTTAGAGCCCTCCAACTCTGAATTGCTCAGGGCTGCATAAGCCATGGGTCACTCCAGTACGTGCTGCAGGCAGGGCTGGGGAGATACATTCATATACGCATATGTAGAGAGATACGTACATACATATATAGAGAGAGAGAGAGAGAGAGAGATATCACCGCCGTGTGAGCGATGTGCTCGATCTGGCTGGTCAGTTGTGTTCCCGCGGATCTCTGGCGCACCACATTCTGACATTGGACTCCCCGCAAAGCGCTCATATAACACTCACCAGGCCTAGCGGTCGCCAGTGAAATTTGCGCTATGGTTTTGCGCCCAGTCTAGTCGCCACTACAATGAAAGAATCATGTCAGAAGTTTACGCTAGTGCCAGTCGTTGCCCAGGACTAGTACCCGGACTGGTTGTGGCTAGAAGTTCGTTCGGTTTGCAAGTGCCGTCAGATTGGCCCAGCCGCTGCCATGGCTGGAGGCCTGGGAACACACGCCGAAGCGGACGGAATGCTTCCAAGCCTCGGGGAAGTCTTTTCCTCTTTTTCCTTAGCCCCGTATCCTCCTCCCCCCCCGCCTTCTAATCCAACTCCTCTCCCATCAATCCTATTCCAACCTCCATCTTTTCCCCTGTCCCTCTCTTCCTCGTCCTCCCTCCTCCACCTCATTTCCGCCCCCTCTCCTGCCCTCGATCGTCCTCCTGCTATTCGGGAGGGGCTCAGGGTGTACGACTCTTGCCGCAACGACCGGTGTAATCAGCCGCTCAAGCTCATGCTTCGCCTGCTGTACTTGATCATAGCTGTTCATGCGTTCCGGGGGCAGCTGCAAAGTACCCGCTCCCAAAGAGGAGGGCGAGAGGATTGCGAGAAGGATGAGGAGAAGGACGCTGTGCAGGAGGAGTGGGAGGGGGAAGGACCTCTCATTCTACTGTACTCCCTCCCCCCTCACATGCCTCCCCTCTGCGTTTCTCGATCCTCCCCGTCAGATGCCCTCACCACACCCCTCCCTCTCACCCTGCCCCCTCGCTCTACCAGTCCCTGTTCGCGTTTCCCCTCCCCCCCCCTCGCGCTCCTCACGCGTCCCGAGCTCTCCCCCTCGATATGTATCCCTTCGCGTTCCCCATGACCCCCTCAGAAGGAGGAGGGGAGTGACGTGGCTTGAGGAAGAGGGGAAAGGGGATAATACTGAGGTGGGGAGCGGTGAAGCGAGGAGAGGATGGGGCAGGAGGAGGAGGTGGAGGAGGAGGAGGAGGAAGAGGGCAACGAATCGAAAGAGTAGGGTGTGGGATAGGATGGAGCAGGAGGAGTAGGAGGAAGAGCGGGGCGATGGGGGTGAAGGGTAGGATCGGCAGGAGGGTGTGGGTGAGAGGGGGTTGAGGAAGTAATGGGACCTCGGAGGAGAAGGAGGAGGAGGAGGAGGACAAGGAGAAATTATACGGAAACGAGGGGGCTTAAGGAGTATTGACAAAATGAGGAGAAGGTGGAGGAGGAGGAGGAGGAGAGCGGGGTGAAAAGGAATGATGGGGAAGGACCGGCGCTTTGTTGAGGAGAGGAGAAGTCAGTTGTGTGGCGGTGTGGGGAGGGTGGCTGGGACTCTGGTATTCTACGGCAGCGGACCTCTGTCCTCGAACACATGGCCTGAAGGCTTTCTCATCACTGCTGGGCTGGATGCCGCCCGTGTGCCAGCCCGACTGGAGCCCCCCCCCAAAAAAACAAAGAAACAATGCCAGCCCACGGGGTGCCTCCCACCGCGACATTGTGCGGCCTGTGGCGGCTGAATGGTGAGCAACGCGGCGCGGCGCCCCACGTGCGCAAGCCCAGGGCCCCCCAGAAGATCGCACGCACAAGGGCGTTGCCGCGAAGCCCTGCTCGTGACCCCGCGCGGTGCTTGTGAACCGACTCCTCCGGCCTGCCCTGGGGTTCGGGCTCTTCCGGCCCCTGCATCTCAGATGCTGATGCTCCCCGCGCCGCCCGAACCTTCCCGCCTGTTCTTCAGGTCGGGGACCGTGGAACATCCGCGTGGACAGTCCGAGTAGACGGGGCCCAGCACCACCCCCGCATGCCCGCAAGCAGGTCGCACGCACACAAACACACACACACACACGCGCGCACACACACACACACACGCATACTTTTTTTTTACAGCCGCAGGCGGAAGCGCCAGCGGCGCACGGTCGCGGTCGGGCTGCGGCCGCGACTAAGGGGAGCGCGCGCGGGGCCGCGGTCAGGCGGCGGGCAGCGGCGACCCAGGGCGTCTGAGCCAAGGCGTGCAATCCAGGGAGTCTGCAGAGCAGCCCCTAACACACACGCATACACACAGACACACAAACACACACACAGACACACACTCACACACACGCACGCCTGCACGCACGCACGCACGCACACTCACCCACTCACTCACACACACACCCAGCACACACAGAAACACAACCACACACACACACACACACCCTTGGCCCCTCCCAAGCCCAGTAGCTTGAGGACCGTCGATCTCAGAAGCGAAAGGAGACTGGAAAGAGGAACATGAAAATGATATGGAGGGTGAGGGGGGAGTGGAAGTGAATGGGATTTGGGGGGGGAAGGAACCGATGAGGATGAGATGCAAGAGAAGAAACGCGGTATTTACGCGGAGAATGATCAGACAAGTAATTTAGAGATGCTGGTGATGTTGATGATGCTAATGGTGATGATGATGCTGGTGATAGGGATGATGCTAATGCTGATGCTGATGCTGGTGACGATGTTGCTGTTGGTACTGGTGATGGTGATGCTGTGGTGGCGATGCTGATGCTACTGATGATGATGATGATGATGATGATGATGGTGATGCTAATGGTGATGATGATGGTGATGATAAGGGTGATGCTGAGGGTGGTGATAATGCGACTGGTAATGATGATTATGATGATGCTGGTAGTGATGATGACGACGACGATGTGGATACCTAGTTTGATGATGATGTTAATGATGATGGTGATGGCGATGCCTATGATGCTGATGATGATACCGATGATAAAGTTGATGATGATGATGCTGATGATGGAGATGGCGAAGATGATGATTATGATGACGTCTATGTTTATTATAATGATCACGATGCCGCTGATGATGTGGATGATGATGATGGTGATGGAGTTGATGCTGATGATGCTGCTGATGCTGATGATGTTGGGAATGATGGTGGTGGTGGTGGGGATGATGCTGAGAGGGTGGGGATGCTGATGATACCGACGACGCTGATAATGATGTTGATGATGATGGTGATTTTCGTGATGAGGATGATGATGAGGGTGAGTGGGGGTGATGGCGACGACGATGGTGAAAATGATGACGTCGATGGCAATGATGATCGTGATGATGTTGATGATGGTGCTGATGATGATGATGATGATGACGATGATGATGATGGTGACGATACTCACGCCGATGACGTTGAACCCGATGGTTACGATGGCTGGGGTGATTGTGATGGTGATGCTGATTTCGATGATGACGATGACGATGACGACGACGATGCTAATGATGATACTGATGATGCTGCCCTTGTTGATGATGTGGATTCTGGTGATTGTGATGGTGATTGTGATGGTGGTCATGGTGGGGGTGAGGGGGAAGAGGAGGAGGAGGAGAAGGAGGAGGAAGAGGAGGAGGAGGAGAGGAGGAGGAGGAGGAGGAGGAGGAGGAGGAGGAGGGGGTGGAGGGGGAGGGGAAAAAGGGAGTAGGGGAGGGTGGAGTGGGAGGTTGGAGGGGGAGGAGCGGATGACAGGGATGAGGACGAGGCGAAGGAAAAGAGGGGGACAGAGCAGGATGGGCAGTAGGAGAGGGTAAGTGAAGGAGGAGGAGGATGAGGAGGAGGGGCAGGACGAGAGGAGTAAGCTCGGGGATCGGAGGACCAGGGCCCACGCGGCAGGAGGAGCATCAGGAGTACTGTAGCAGGGGGATCAGGAGGGGCACCGCCTCATTTGTACACTGCGCGGGGTAGAACGTGCGTGGTTGTCAGGCACAGGCATACGGGCGCCAGGAATCGATTTGCTTCTCAGCTTTCTCATGTTTTGTTCGTCCTCACATAGCCTCCACCCTCGACATGCCTCACCCCTGCTCGAGCAAGACCTGCCCCCATGAATCCATCCTGCTCCCTCAGCTTTCTCCCATCCTCAAGATGTGTCTTCCCTGATCGTTCTCAACCTCGCCTCGACCCTCTCGCTCCCCAGACCAGCTCCGACATTGCCTGGTCTATCGAGCCGCTGGTTGCATTCACATTGCATCATCATCTTTCGACTCCTCCCACATTCAGTCACCGTCCATCTAAGATAACCTTCGATGAGGACCATTCGACCATAACCATGCTTGAGCATACCCCATCCCTGAAACAAGTGACCATCGTCCTGCCCTGGTATTTCTGTTTTTCTTGACCTGGCTCCAGCCTCGACGCCCCAACTTGGACACTTTTGCCTATGCGCCTCCAGTGGCTGTTTTTTGACATTGTGCCCGGCACAGGTTTCAGCGGGAGATCGTCCGGCACATCTTGTGTTATAGTATGATGCGCGATGGCCCCGAGGAGCACCTCCTGTGCCATCCTTATTCTGCTTCCTCCTCGCTCTCTTCCTCATGCTCCTCCTCCTCGCTCTCCTCCCCTGCCTCCTCCTCCTCCTTCCCCCTCCTTCCAAAGAGGAAGGCGAGAGGGGGATGGGGACAAGCTAGGTGCGCTCGCGCCATCTCTGTCATCTTTTCCCTCCATCTCATCCCTCCCCATTGTGATGTTTCTTTCTCTGCCCGCGGACGCTACATAGCCTGAATTGTGGGGCCTGTGGGGCAGGTAGGAGCTGTGAGTCTTGTGCGATTGGTGGGGCTTGTGGGACCTGTGGGAATTCCGTGGCCTGTGGGACCTGTGAGGCAGGTCGAAACAATGGACGTTTGGAACCTGCGGGACCTGCGGGTCTTGCTGGAGCTGTGTGCGACCTTGTGGTCCTAAATGGCCCGGGGGGTATGTGAGACCTGCGGCACCTGTGGGACCTGTAGGACCTGTAGGACCTGTGGGACCTGTGGGAGCTGTGGAAGCTGTGAGTCCTTCTATACCTGCGAGATTTGTGGGACCTGTGGCACCCGCGGGACGTTTGGGACCGTGGGGACTTCCATGGTACTTGTGAGACTTGCGACACCTGTGGCACGTGTGGGACCTGCGGGACCTGTCGGACCTGTTGGACATGTGAAACATGCGAGACTTACGACACCTGGATCCAGAAAGGTGGCCCACGCTGGGGCGAGAGCACAATTCTGAACGACGGGAGCAACACACCGATCCGAAAATGAGGCCCACTCTTAAGCGATAGCACCTTTTAGGGAAATGCGAAAACAATCGGGTACAACCATTCAATCGGAACGATCACATGTTTACGTCGCGTGTTTAAACATACCAATGTGCGGAGAGCGCCGACCATCTTCCAGGCAGGCTCGGGGGCTGGGCACAGGAGGCCGTCACGTGTGACACCTACTGTCTCCAGGCTTGTGAAAGCCGTGGTGAATATGAGTAGGCATATGAAAATGATGGGATTTACGACAATGGTGATGATGATGATGATGATGATGATGATGATGATGATGATGATGATGATGATGTTGTTACTAGTGGTGGTGATGGTGATGTTGATGGTGCTGATGGTGATCCTGATGAGGACGGTGATGATGCTGATACTGATGATGGTGATGGTGGTGCTGATGATAAAGAGGCCGACCACGATGACGACAATGGTCATGATGATGTTGACGATGATGAGGCTGATGATGATGGGGATGACGATGCTGCCGTGATTGTGATGGTGCTTGAGATGATGCTGGTGATGCTGACGTTACTGATGCTCGTGATGATGATAATGGACATGATTCTGTCGACTGCGATGATGGTGGTGCGATGATGAGGGGAGGATGGTGCTGATGCTGGTGCGGATGCTGATAATGATGTTGGTGATGATGGTGTTTGTGGTGAAGATGATACTGCTGGTACTGTGCATGATGATGTTGCTCATGATGCGAGTACTGTTTGAGAATATTGTGATGCTGCTGCTGATTTTGATGATGCTGCTGATGGTGATGCTGCTGACGATGATGATGATGATGCTGATAATGATTATGATGAGGGTGATGATGATGGTGATGATGCTGATGATGCCGATGATCACGCCGATGACGTTGAATATGATAGGTACGATGAGTGTGATGATGGTGATGATGATGATAAGGATGAAAGTGGCAGTGATTGTGATGGTGCTGGTGATGATGCTGACGATGCTGACGATGATGATGCTGATGATGCTGATGCTGATAATGATCATGATGGTGATGATGATGCTGATGCTGATGTTGATAATGATGCTGATGATGGTGCTGAGGTTGATGATGTTGTTGGTGATCATGCCGATGATGGTGGTGGTTGTGGTGATGATGCTGATCATGATGATGACGATGATGATGAGAATAACAATGGTAATCGTAGACTGCCAACTGTCGCCTTGTCTTACGCGGTGCGCCAAGACACCCCACCACGCAAGAGTACCAAGGGACCACGAGGCCCACGGGGCGGCGAGGGGGGACGGGCGGAGCGGGCGAGAGCCCTGAGAAAAATCAAGCACATCAAGGATACCACCCGTTTTTTTTTCCACGTCACAAGCATGATCCTGGGGGGGCCTACACCCCGGTCTTAAAGTGAGGATGCAGGCCTCTTGCAGATCTGCAGCTTGGTGCCCAAACTTCCAGAAACTTTTTTGGAGCGGTGTACAAGGGCTCCCCCGAGGGCGCGAAGTTATTCGCGCTTCGCGCTTCGCGGTCCTCGTTTCTCCTCCCCCTCCTCCTCGTCCTCCTTTTCTCCCTTTGGGGGGGCGGCGCGAGAGCGCGAAGTTATTCGCGCTTCGCGCTTCGCGGAGCGCGAAGCGCGAAGTTGGGAGCCCTAGGTGTACCAGAGGGCGGGTCCGGGCGGGGCCTCTGAAATGTTCCAGGATATCTTGGCCGAGGCGGGGCAGAACTTGCTCCGCACGCGCAAGCTGGGCTGAGGCAGGCAAGCTTCTTTTACGTAGCAGTCCTGCTGGCTTCGAATATCGCAGACAGCCATCTCCCTCTCTGTTGGATCGCACTCTCAGACGACTTGAAGAACCAACTATCGTGAGAGGGCCCAGCGTGACCCCACGAGTGAGGAGACAGAGGGGCAGACTCTGAGACATGCCTGCGACGGAAGTCTCGGCACATGCCCTCCCACCTGCTCAAAGTCAATCGCAACAGAGGCCCGTCGGAGCGCCAGCGACAGGGGACTGAGAGCAGCTCTGACACCCGCGGGCGGTCATGCGCGCCAGCCGCCGTCGAGGAGTCGAACGTTCTGTTCTTGGCTGGCAGCGCGCCCGTCGCCGGCGCCACGGTGACAACAATGGTGTCGGGGCAACCTCGCCTTGGCAGCGTGACGTTGGCCGCCGTGAGCGCCAGCACCTCGCTGGGCCTGAGGCGACCCACGACGCAGCTGCCGCCTCTGGACCGTCGGTGGCCACGCTCGGGCTCCCGTAGAGCCACGTGGCGGTCGCCAGCGCCAAGACCTCGCAGCTCAGCGAGTCGCGTGGGCGCTCGGGGGCAGCTCGGAGAAGCCCTGGCAAGGCCCAGCACGTGGGCCGCCCCGCAGATGGTGTAGCGCCCAGCCGACGGCCTGTCGCCGTTGACGAACAGCCTGTCCAGGTACTGGTCCAGCACCGCGTCCCAGTCGCTCGGCGTCGTCGCCTTCAGCCCTCTGCCGGCCGCCCAGGCCGCCAGCTCCGCGTGGGCCGCGGCGTACGCGCGGGCGGTCCGAGGGCGCACCGACGCCCGGCGGCAGACCCCGTCGCTGGAGCCGCAGGCGTCCGCGCGGCGCGCGGCTCCGGCGCTGACGCTCCCGCCGCCGAGCGGCGGGCCCGACGATGGGCGGCGGCGTCGACGGCCTCGGCACGCCACGGCGTCCCGTCCCAGAAGCCGACGGCCCCCCCCCATCAAGCAGTGGCGAAGCGTCCTGGCTCGCCTGCAGCCCCACCAAACCATGTTCTGAGAACCGCTTGTGGTTTCCCCGGAATGTTCTCCGAGCATTTCTGGCGGAGTCCACTTTGTTTGGTCACATCGGGGCCAGGCTCTAAGAACATCGACCTTGTTCTTAGAACATTTTTGGGGTTCTATAGGAACAGTTCGTGGTAGGACGGACTACAGGAAGGCCGGGACGGTCGGTCCCTGCGCAACCCCAACCCCCGCGGGCAGAGCCCGGGGGGGGGCCGGGAGGGCCACCGGTCGGGCTGCGGAGGAGCCGTCCGCCCCGGCCGGCGGCTGCCAGGCGCCGCGCCCCGACCGGCGGCGGCCCGCGGCGCGCGCGGGCGGCGGAAGGCCCCCCGCGCGGGGCGGCATCCCGAAGGATTGCAAAGGATTGCCAAAAAAAACCTGGATTGCAAAACAAAAACACCCTGGGTTTTTGTTGCAATCCTTGGGTTTTTTTTGGCAATCCTTGTTTTTTTTGCAATCCTTCGCTCCCGCGCCAGAGCCCGCGCCACTTCAGGAGGGTAAGCCGCAGCGAAGGCCGTCCTCCAGGCGGCCGGCGCCCCCGCGAGCCGAACCTCGCCCCGTCGACGGCGGCCCGCGGCTCGCGCGGGCGGCGGAAGGCCCCGCGCGGGGCCTGCATCCCGCAGCACTCGCGCCGGAGCCCGCGCCGGCTCAGGAGGGTAAGTCAGAGCCCCGAATCACCAGGGGTAACTCGGGTCAGGGTTCACTCGGGTTCGTGTTTCGGGAATCCGAGCCCGAGTTACCCCGGACCCGAGCTACCCCGGATACTTCGGGCATCCTGACCCCCGAATCATCAGGGGTAACTCGGGTCAGGGCTAACTCGGGTTCGTTCTTCAGGAAGCCGAGCCCGAGTTACCCTGGACCGGAGTTACCCCGGATAATTCGGGCATCCAGAGCCCCGAATCATCAGGGGTAACTCGGGTCAGGGCTAACTCGGGTTCCTTTTTCGGGAATCCAGAGTTACCCCGGACCCGAGCTACCCCGGATAGCTCGGGCGCCCAAGTAAGCCGCAGCGAACGCCGTCCTCCAGGCGGCCGGCCCCCCCGCGAGCTGAGCCCTGCCCTCTAGAGCCGCACGCGCGGCGCGAGTGGGCAGGGAGCAGCGCCCGTGGAGCACGTGGCTGTGCGGCAGCGCAGAGATGACCGCTGGCGTCTTCCAGGGTGCCCCGAAGGCGCACATGTCGAGGAGGCATCGTCGCGCCGGCAGCCGTCGGAGCAGCCTCGCCACTCGCGGGACCTCGAAGAGCCGCCAGCGAGCAGGGTTCTCGAGAAGCACGTGGATATTGTTCTTGAGGCAGAGCCGGAGCACCCGAACGGTGAAGAGCACGCAGCGCCAGGAGCTCGGAGTAGACGTACCAGTGGATCTGGCCGGCGCCCAGGCAGTACATTGTGTCCCGAGCAGGACGCCACCAGGCCAGCCCCCTGGCCAACCAGCTGAGGATCTCACTTGCCACGCGACGATCCAGCACGTCATGGTGAGGGCCACGAGCCACGTCAATGGGGGGCG